TCGAATTCCTTCCAACCACAGATTCACTGCTATTTGACCAAATTCATTGAGTTGAATCTCTCTCTCTCACTTCCTCCCTCCACCCCACACCCCACCTCGCCCCCAAGGTTATGGCTTAACTCCATCTCATTGTCAACAGATTTGATGATTTGACACAAAGTTTATTAAATTCTATGATCTGGGGTTAGGTGGGGGGGAGGGGTGTAATTATCTCTGGGGGGAATAATTACTTATCACTGTAGCCCAAACATTACTCTAGAATTCAGCATCTAAAAAACCACAGACAGATGTTTAGCATCTCTCCATTTCTGTGGGTCAGGAATGTGGGGGTCATAAGCTGTGGGCATGGGGTGCAGTTGTCTGGCAGGCCTCGGACCTGCCCTCCAGGACCTAGCAGGGCTTGGTTCCTTTGGCTGTTGTCTGATGACCCTGCTCTTTACCAGGTGGACCTCTCCACAGGCCACTGGAGCATTCTCATATCAGGGCAGCTAGATGCCCTCCGAGGAGTGACTCCAAGGCAGAGAGGAAGCTCCAAGGCGCAGCCAGGTTTTTTCTTTATAACCTAATCTCCAGAGTGATGCCTATCACTTCCCTGGTGTTCCATTTGCCAGAGGAAGACTTAACTCCAGCCTACACAGGAGGGATGTAATTGACAAAGAATCCACGGGTACATTTTCAAAACCACCAAAGGCCCTTATCTAATCCCCAACAGGGGATCTGACCCAAAAATGAAGATAGTAAATTTGAGATTCATAAAGACCTAGGTTTAACACTGCCTCCTACATTTGCTACTTAGACAGCTTAGACAAAACATCCCATTTTCTTGGACCTTCATCTTCTAACTGATGAAATGGGGATAAGATGAGGACTTTGTTGCGTTGCTGTGAAAATTCAGCCAGGCCCCACAGAGAAGGTGTGTGCACAGAGTAAGTGTCAAATGAGTTTTACTTAATTGCTCCCATAACTACAATAGCTTGTGCTTCTCCACAAGAAACAGAATGGCATAGGAGAAGCATGGAATTCACTGTAGGTCACCCTGCCTGGGCAGGACCTCTGGTGATACCAGTCATGAGCTGTGAGGACAAGGGCATAACACTACATACTCTTTGTATGGTTTTTGATAAAATGGAGATAATAATAGCCAGTGCCTGGCCACCTAATCAATATTTAATAAATATTTGATGAATAAGGAAATAGTGTATAATGGAAGGGTATAATGACAAAGGGGTGTGTGTGTGTGTGTGTGTGTGTGTGTGTGTGTGTGTACTACACAAAGCACATCTGACTTCACCCCTCCTATTCACTGGGAAGGCTGCAGTGGCCTCCCTGTTGCACTTGAGGATGGAACCTCCTTTGTGTCCTTGGGTGTCACCTTCAGCAGCTTCGTTTTACAGGTTGTTCCCGTCTCATTGTTCAGCTTCTGTTCCTCCCTGGCTTTGTTCACGCATGCTTCCCCATCAGCCCTGCTGCCTCGCCAAGAATATGTTTAATTGACTTTGTGTGGGTCTGGGGACTCAGGGATGGAGGGGGGTGGGGGCGTTCATGTCACACCACCTCAGAGCTGCTACATTACCTTAAATTGATTTCGCAAATGAAAGCTAAAAGCTAAGCAAAGGCGACCCATCCATTTTGCCTAAAGATGATTATAATGCTCTTTTACGGCCTCCTAAATGACAAAGCAATTTGTTACCTGCCTGCATCAACATTTGCTTATATTAGCACCCGAGATGCTTGATTTTTATTAGCCCCGCGTTATCATTTTATGAAGACGCAGGGGCTCAGTAAAATTAGTGTGCAAATAGGATGCCCATTTTGCATTTCCCTGTGGTCAGCAGAAATGCTGAATGCAATTGAGTTGATATGGGGTCAGGGGAAACATCCATAAAGGTAGCCTTCACAGAGGGCTGTGGGAGTGTCATTCATCATTTCTGTGCTGCTGGGATAGGTGGGATCAGTGTTTGACTGTATTTCTTAAAAGGATTTGGTGGCATTTTGATATTTTTGTCTTTTAAGTGAAAAAGCAATGTAAATACTAAGATACTAGCTCTACTTTGCCCAGCAATAATAGATGAAGGCTGACTCTCCTGTGTACACTGTGGATGGAAATGAGGTTGCTTTCGCATTTTTTATAATCTTAGTGGATCGAGGAGGAGAGAGGGTAGGGACAGCAGGACCAGACTACAAGCTGAGCTCAACTCTACCGATGCTTGCTGTGAGACTTTGAGCTGGTCCCTTCCCTCTGAACTTGAATTTCCTCACAGTTAATGCTGTGCCCATCACCAGAACGTGCTGAAGATTAAATAAGAAAATATGTGCCTCAGTTTCTTCATAATCCATTTTAGTATTTTCTAATTTATTTGTCCAAAAGCCAATTATTATTTACCTCTTCCATGCTGGATCCTGGGGAAGATATCAAAAGTGCAGTTTCACCATGGGGGAGGTGGTAGGTCTATTCTGCCCAGGAAACAGTCAGGGCTGACTATACACCCTGAATGAATGAACATTCATTCATTCATTAAGGCTCTATTTGGGACTGTGTTTAATGCAGGGGCCAGAGAAGGCCATGATGCTCAGGCCTACACACACACACACACACACACATGCATGAACATACACACATATACACGCATAACAAGCTCGTGCATGCACACACACACACACACACACACACACACACACACACACACACACATTCCCTGTGGTGCTCGGGAGAGTGGAGATGCATCCAGTAATGCTTGGGGAGCCATGTGTTACCTGGCATATAACCCCTGTACTATCTCTCTGTCCCCTTTTAGAAGGGGGTTTAAAAGAGCTCTTTTATACCAAACTTGTTTAGAGAAGATGAGCTTTCTCTCTCACTCACTCTTTTGTTCTTATGGGTATCTAGCATGGAGCTGAGCAGGAATGAATTCTTGCATGCTTGAGCTCCACTACCTACTTACTGATTTTTCAAAAGCCCAGAGTTAAGGAAGCAGTGACCTTGCTTTTCTAATGGTCACCCCAGTAGACCCTGGTGAAGTCCCAAACCTTACGAAGCAGGATGAATAGTTTTACCATTCTTTTTTTAAATCTCTGACATTGGTGCATCGATAGTTGGTGTCAGAAACCACATTAAAAATGACCTGTCTCTAGCATTCCAAAAGCTGAAAGCCTGTTTAATTGTTTCTCGTTGCCCCCTTTGTGTCAGTTCATCTGCTAAGGTAGACGGAATCCTTCAATCCAACCTCCCTCAATATTTATTTCTGACTTTCCATGAGATCGTTAATCTGTCCTAAATCAGGGAGTCCTTCTGTCCAAAGTTCAAGAGCCCCCTCTGGCCCTTTCTGTTTTGGGAATGTTACTTTTGTCTGCTGCTTTTATCTAGTACTGTTTTGGCACAATGGCTCATTTTATTATGTAAGTCAGACTTATGCAGAGGTAGTGTGAGCTTGGGCTTGGTTTTAGACCATATTTTCCTGTTTCTTTTCCTATCCAGTGGTAGTTTAGTTTGGTACTGGATGCTGAATATGGCAAATCACATGTTGTTGGTTATTTGCAGTTTTTCTTCCTTTAAAAAAATTTTGGGTTTTTCATCACCTGAGTAGGAATTTCTTTTTGTGTGATCAATTTAAGATTTATTTAAAATTTTGCTTATATGAATCTAGAGTGGTTTAACCTTATCATGGAGATATAACCCTTCTGGATTCTTCACTAAATCATCAATGAGGACTACTGTCTTGGGTGGTCCCCAACCACTTTTTCATGACGTTGTTGAGATTTGCCCTATGCATACACATCTTGGGACCAAAGAAAGATTCACACAGTCTAATCTCCCTTACAGATTTCTGGAACTCTCTACAGAGTTACATCTTCTCTGGAACTGGTATTGTTTTCCTCAGCTGCCATCCTCTTCTAACTTATTTTTTGGGGGTGGGAGGGAGGTGGAGCTGGGCTGGGGACCATACCTGGCAGTGATCAGAGGCTATTCCTGGCTCTGTGCTCACAGGTAATTATGGGTGGTACTAATGGGTTCATATATGATGCCTGGAATCTAACTGGGGTCAGCTGCAGTAAGAAAAGTGCTTAAACCTATCTATCATCTCTCTGACCCCTGCTTCCAACTGTCTGAACACTAATCTCAGTGTGACTGCCAGGCCTCAATCAGATATTGCTCTGTGCTATTAGGTCTGAAGTCAGTCTCCAGATAAAATGCTCTGACAACCATAGGGCACACTTCTTTTCCTTCCCCTTTGCATGGTTTGATCTTGTATAACTTCTTGCCCAATGTTTCAAAGTAGTTGTTTTGTATACATTGTCTATTTTTTAAAGTTGCATAGGGTGAAAGAAACTTGAATCCTGATATTTCAACAAGACCAGATGAAGGCTTGACTTCTAATCTCAGCATATACCTGTCTATTAAGCTTTGTGACCTTGAACAAGTTCTCAAACTTCTCCAAACGTCAGTTTTAACCTCTGTAAAGTATTAACTGTGCATATTTTATATCACCTAAAAATAATGTATAATGATAGTAGGACTCACATAAAAGGAGCTTATTAAATAGCAGCTGCTACTATTACTAGCATAAAGCACTTTCTTACTCCAATGTTTACTCAACCTTTACTGTGTTCTATGTGACATGTAAACTGGTTTAATTTTGACAACAGCCCAAGGCAGTAATTATGCATGTTATAGATTAGCAAATTGAAGCTCAGAAAGGATGCATTGTTTATCTATGGTCACAATCAGTGGGTCTAAAATTTGACTTCAATCATGTGACCTTTTGAGGTGAATGTAATAGAAACATAATCAGTTGCACTAAAGAATGGGAATTTACTCTTTTAATATTAGGGAATTGGGGACATAATTTACCTATCATTCAACGATGACTGCACCTAATCCAGTGATTTAAGAAGTCAATGGAGAGGCCCTAGACCTACCCCTCCCTGCACCTCCCCCGACCTACTTTTAGTTCTTGCCGAACTCCTGGGCTAAATTTCTTCTACTTTCATTTTTTTTACAGAAAACCTTCGAGAAGGGGCAGAGCAGAAGGTAGTATTTATCACGGGGCGAGTACACCCTGGAGAAACACCCTCTTCCTTTGTTTGCCAAGGTGAGTTGTGGACACCCTATATTTCTACCCTCCCTTCATCTAATTAAATGCACTAATTCATTTTTATTAATTTCAAGCAAGGTTTATTGTCTATCTTACTTATTAGCTATATGTTAGGACATATATCTCTATGTTAGAACAGAAAGATAATGAACAGGTAGGGCTGACTGAAGTTCTCTTGGATGATCAGAGGACATCTACTTTCTTAAATTAATTTTATTATCACTAGTGTTTTACAATAATCAGAAATATGATCCTACGTCAATGTGTGTGCTAATAAAGGGTATTTAACTATTGTAAACCCCATTGCCCAAAAGGGTGGGGAGAGAGGAGAAAAGGGCCTGTCATAGAAGCAGGTAGAGGAGTGGATGTGGGGGATGATGGGAGGGAACCTGGGGACACTGATGTTGGAAAATGTACACTGGTGGAAAGATGGGTGTTGGAGCACTATAGAATTGAAATCTAACATGGAAAGCTTTTTAAGGGTCTCTCTCACCGTGATTCAATAAAAATGTACCCCTCAAAAGGGTATTTAACTTGGGAAGTAAGGCTGGAAAATTACCTATTCTTTATAGTTCTTCTGCTTTGAACATGAATTCAATTCCATGTCTCTCTGTTCCTCAACTTACACTTATATCATTCTAAACGGACTACCAAGCTTTTACAGCTTTTTTCATACAAAAAGTTCTTATTCAAATATTCTTATAGATGTTCTCATACATGTCACATTGGCTAATACTATTCTAGGGCATACAACTATGGCACAAAATTTCTGGGTCATAGTATAGATATGTATCTTCAACTGTCCTTCCAAAATATACAACTTTATACCACCAGCAACACACATCCTTGCCAAGACACTTTGCATTTTTGCCATCTGCTGAGTGTATTCCATATAAAATACATGGGACTACTTATGTGCGGGTCACTGTTCTAAGTTTCTAAGTCTTCCACATATTTTATTTTATTTGTTTTTTATTAATTTAGTTCATTTGATTTATTTTAATTATGCTAATTTTTCCACGTCATAGGAATAACTGTTAACCATATTTTTCCCCTTGAGGAAACTGAATTTTGGAGAAGCAATTTATCTCATTTTAATCTTGCCATGACCATGAGGTTAACAAGATAGGAAAAAAAAAACCCATGGAGGTTAAATAGTTTGAGGGAGGCAACATGCTGTCTAGAATATACCAGGGGAATTGCCATTAGACTATTTTAGGATCATATATTGACTCCACCACTTCCTAGCAACACAACTTCAGTTTCCTCAAAAAGCTAGAGTAGGCTAATAATTCTTCTCTAGGAAGGCTCTTAGGAAGCTGGCACCCTGTCCAAGTCCCTGCCAGGAATGCAGTAGCACTTATGTCTCTTACTATCCCAAGAGAACCAGAGAAGATGAGGCCAGTAACCTGCTTTGTAAATGACAAGACACTAGGCTAATAAACGTGGGCTTCTGTGCTCCATTGCTTGTGACTTCCTTGTGATGATGAGACACAGCTGCTTGCTCTCTTTCCAAGCAGAAGGTTGTACTTCACAGAGGATAGGATTGTCCAAAGAAAAACTGTTCTTTAAAAAAAACCTTTTTATTGAATCACCATGAGATACAGTTACAAAGCTTTCATGATTGAGTTTCAGCCATACAATGATCGAACACCCACCCCTCCACCAGTGTAGCTTTCCCACCACCAATGTCCTCAATCCCCACTCCACCCCAACTCCTGCTTCTATGACAGGCAGTTTCCTTCTTACTCTCTCTCTCTCTCTCTCTCTATTTTGTGGAATTATGGTTTGCAATATAGATACTGAGAGGCCATAATGTTTGGTCCTTTACCCACTTTCAGCACACATCTCTCATCCCAAGCAATCTCTTAACCATCATTGATTTAGTGATCCCTTCTCTATCCCAACTGCCTTCTCCCCCAGCACTTGAGGCAGGCTTCCAACCATGGACCAATTCTCCTGGCCCTTGTCTCTACTGTCCTTGGGTGTTAATCATACTGTGTTATTTTATATTTCACAATACTCTTAAAGGGCAGGATTGGCTCCAGCCACCTTAGCTTAGTCTTCTCACTTCTGAAAGAATTCTCAGTTCCAGCTTCCCCTCCCCAACACTGTCCTTGCAACAACCTCTCCTAGGTCCCTCCTGGTTTCACCAACCCCTTTACTTGCAACCATCTGTCAGTTACTAAACTTGGCAACAAATCTGTTCTCTCAGCTGATTGGATGCAACAATTTTGCCCTTATTTACAAAATGAGAGTGAGTAGCCTTGCCATCAATACCTTCATCTCAGGAGTCAAACCCTAGTGCTTGTCTCCTTTGTAACAATAGTCAAAGGATGGGGTCACCACCATCCTGTTTTCAGATGAGACCCAAGGCACGGAGATGGAGACACCAAGACCATCTCGAGGGCTTTCCATGTGTTAACCCCACACTTCCGAAAAAGAATCTAGCAGTCATGGAGATGTTTGACTCCATAGTCTCTTTCAGTCAATGTTTTTGCTGTGGCAGAGCCTTTTAATGCCTCCTCACTACTACCTTCTCAAAAACAAAAACAAAACAAAAACAAAAGCAAAAAAAAAACCTCCAAACACTTTGGCACCACACTAGCAACCCTCAAAGATCTAGTTCTTGCCAGTTATCTGTCCTTGGCCTCACAACTTAATTTCTGAGGCGACACTTGGTTCTACACTGAACTTTGCATTTTCTGCTCCTCTTCCTAGAGGGTTCTTAGCCCATTCCTTGTCACCTGGCATGCAACTACATCTTCCAGAATTTATTCCAAGAACCTCTGTTAGGCTCTTGGTCTACTCCCTCTGGCTCTGTTCTGTGCCACATTGTGAGCAATCCAATAGCCATCTTTATTGCCTTGACTTGTTAAATATTCAATTTCTGTTTTTTCTCCTCTCTTTAAACCTTGAGCTATTTGAAATCTCTGGCTGGTTTTTTTTTCCTTTTTGGGTCACACCTGGCAATGCACAGGGGTTACTCCTGGCTCTGTACTCAGTAATTACTCCTGGCAGTACTAGGGGACCATATGGGGTGCTGGGAATCGAACCCAGGTTGGCTGCGTGCAAGGCAAATGCCCTACCTACTGTGCTATCACTCCAGCCCCTCTGACTGGATTTTTGAGTGACATTTTCCATGTCTACAAAATTGGGATTATCTCGATCATCTTGTGGGGTTGATATGAAGTTCCAACGTGACACAGGCACTGGGATGCAAAATCTGGGTTTAGTGAGAGGGACCTCAAAGTCTCATGGCCAGCAGAAAGCAGAAAAGGGCTTTGCATCTGATCTGGCTAATTCCTAATCCTGCACATGCTAATTTGCCCCACTCAGGTATGGGAAAAGCCTCATGCTTGCAACAAGAGGGAACTCTGGCTACGCCCCAGTAAGTGGCGTTTATCTCACAGATGAGGATGTGGTGGTTGAAGGTCTATTCAAGGTCACACAGCTGATTTGTGGCAACTGTGGCTCTGCAATCCCCAGCCCGCAATCCTGTTTTCTGCATCTGTAACTCCTTCCTAGGACCCTTTAAGATGGGCATCATTGCCCCATGTTACCCAGGATGGACTAAGTACAAGTCTTTCCCAAAGCCTTCTCAGCCACTGGGATGGCCCAAATCACAGCCTCACAGAGCCAGCTGGATTTTCTATACCTATTCCCTCCATAACCCACCTTTTTCTGTTGATACAGGCAGGATCTGAGGTCTGGAAAGACAACGGTTCAGATGCATTTGGTTCTGTTAACTCTTCCCCATTAACTGGCTCAGTGACCTTGAGAACAGACATGTGGGGCCTGGACGTCCCCATCTGGCTGGGACCACAGTTTTCTCTGCCGAGCTGCTGAAGCACCTGCTGCTGGGAATAGAGCAAAGTCAGGCCACCACAGAGCTCAGAAAGGGGCAGTGTGAAAGGGAATTAGACTTTGGTCTCCTTCAGATTGCTTGGTGGTGGGGCAGTTGACTGTCAGTCACCCCTGCCCCTCCCCATCCACTCTCAAGCCTGGTTTTACCTCCTTGAGGACTAGCTTATGAGAGCCTGAGAACTTCCACAGTGGTCTGGAACAGATGGGCTCTAAAGCTGGACTCCCAGGGACTCCTATGTGATCTAAGCTCCTCTACTGACCCCTGGTAAACTCAGAGGATGTTCCTGAACCTTGCTGCGCCTCAGTTCCTTTGTCTAAGAGGGAAATAGTCATAGGAATCCTGCCATTTGAGGTTGTCACGAAGATTAAATGAGTTAATATCCCAAAGAATCCAGGTTGGGGTCTGAGATGCACAAAGTACCAAGTCAGTGTCACTAGGGGTGTAGGAAGTGTGTTGAGCGTGGGTTCCTAAATCCTTACTGCAGACCCAAATCTGGGTGTGTGACTCTATACTGCATGCTCCTTCCTTCCCCAGAACTGACACCCCACTGCTCTGTTCTCTGGAAACCACTGCAGCTCAAAAAGTTGACCATACTCAGCCTCAGGATTCCTGCTCCCGGTCCTGAAAATGCTCTCCATCGGAGCCTCCTGGGGCTGTTGAGACTACACACGCAGCTGAGTTCTGAATGCAGCTCCACATGCAGTATTAATCAAACCAACTCCTATGGGATAAATGCTCCAGGGTCAAGACATGCCACCTCTGGAGGGGACAAGGCAGTGCTGTGCCTTAGGATGTAGACAGATCTGAGTAGGAATCCTACTTTCACCTCTGTTTAGGGGGAGGGGGTCTTTGCCAACCTGTCAACTCTCAGATTTTCTACTTTCTACATAATGGGGGCAGGGATAGGAGTCCCAAGGAGCTGCTTGGAAGGTTCCATGCGCCCTGCTGCTAGATTCCCAGGTCCTCACCAGGGCCTAAGCTGTGGGGACAGAACTGGCCTTCCCTGAGGGAGCTGAGACTCTGGGTCATCCTGTGGGAGTAAGAGAAGAGGGAGAACATACACACACCTACACTCATACACATAAGCACATAAAAAACACATGTCCTCACACAGAGAAATCCATATATC